TACACAGTGTATGTATACACACATACATATATATTAGACATGTGCGATTCGTTTCGGAAAGATGCGTTTTTCAGATGGATTTTCGGAAATTTCTACATTCAGATGCATCCAAATATCTGAATTACAAAAATAATGAATGCAAACTAATATGAATTTCCGATAACGAAAAATTAGGATGCATGCAAATTTCTTTCCTGAATGACATTTGATTGTGTTAAACTTTAAAAAAAAATCTGAATTGACGTTAGCGGTAGTCTATATGATTTTTCGTTATGAACAAATGTTTGTTGCCGCAAAGTGACATAAGTAAATAAATTTTTTTTTTTTACAGTCCGCAGAGGAAGAAAAAAAACATGTGAGGTTCCCCCCTAATTGATACCAGACCCTTTAGGTCTGGTACGAATGTTAAGAGTGACCCCCCCAAGTAAATAAAAAAGGCTGTGGGGTTCCCCCAAAAGTCATACCAGATCCTTTAGGTCTGGTAGGAATTTTAGGGGGAATCCCACCCTCCAAAAATGGGGGAAAAATTGTGGCGCCCCCCTAAAATTCCTACCAGACCGTTGATCCGAACACAGGCAGGGCAGGAAAGCGGGGGGGGGGGGATGATTGAGCGCCCCCCTCCCTGCGTCATACCAGGCCACGTGCCCTCAGCATTGGGCACATGTGCCCTCAGCATTCACTAAAGGGTTTAAAGTAAATGTAAATAAAGAGACCACACGTTTTTAAAAAGTCCTTCAACTAAAAAAAATGACAATTCCTTTATTTAAAAAAAAATGGATCCATCAATGTAACCCACGTCAATCACAATAAACAATGCCCACTGACTCGCCGAAATAAAAAAGCCATGCTGTACGCCGACCGGCCCAAACCCAATTAAGACTTGCTGCAAAATGACAGCTCCAGCATGAATGTAAACAAATGGGTGGAGCGAGCCGTGACGGCACGGGGCTCATTCCACCCATTTGACATTCTGAGCTGGCATAAAACACAATTACATTTGGGAGCTCCCAAATGCCATTCAGATCTGGGAGCTGAGGTGTCATATGAATAGTATTATGACACCTCGACTCCCAGACCTGAATGGCATTAGGGAGCTCACCAATAGCATGCAGAATGCTATTGTGTTCTATGATAGCTGAGAATGTCAAATGGGTGGAACAAGCCCCGTGATGTCACGACTCGCTCTGCCCATTTGTTTATGTATTTGTTTATTTGCCGGAGCTTTCATTTTGTGTCAAGTCTTCGTCAGGTTCGGATGGGTCGACGTGCGGCAGGACATTTTTTATTTCGGCTAGTCGGCGGACGTCGTTCATCGTGATTGATGCTGGATTACATAGATGGACCACATTTTTTTTAAACAAAGGAGTTGTCAAAAACTGACTTTTTTCAATTAAAGGACTTTTTTTTAAATGTGTGGTTTCTTTATCCACATTTACTTTTACTTTAGTGAATGAGTAGGGGTTCAAGTAGTCTTTTCTCATTCAAAAGGGGGTGGCAGCATCTGGGTGCCGGCAGACCCCCACAACCACCGGGTCAGGATTGTGGGAACGAGACCCTTATTAGCTCGGCACAATATTGTTTTATATATATATAGTGACGTTTGGGGATGTTAGCACATATGGTGAGCACTTTAAGGATGTAGTCTACTCACAATATCTTCTTTTTAAGGACTTGGTAGCCAACTTTTATATAAACAAAAGTTTACACATCCACATTGGATACCCTCACAGGCGTTGTTCAATACAGCTTCCACACACTGCTTGTAAAACAACACAAGTAAACACAAAACAACACAAAGTTCCACATTTAAAATGCATAATTCTGACCCACCACTCCTCTCTGTAGTGCTGTCCCGCACTTGTACTGGCGGCCCCTCAGGCTCTTGGCTCTCCCAGCCTCACCAGTTCTACCAGCATCCCTGGTATGTTGTAAAGTAGCCACTGTTCCAAGCTTGCTCCCAGGATGGACTACAATATCAATACAAATTAGTTAACTAAATGTGAGAATTTTGGCCATCACGGGAGGGAGCTCGGAGCGGTGACTACTTTACCACACACAGGGACCATGTGGGACAAAAGTACCCACCCTCTAGAAGGAAGGACAGTGTTAGCACAATTTCAGAGAAGATTTGAGGATCTACAGCTGAGTGTTACACAAATAAGGTACAGTATTGTTTATAGTTAAGGCCCTTGAATGCATTTTTATGATTTAAAGTGGACCTTTACCCCCTTTCACTAAAAATCACATCAGCATGCAGCTCTGCATGCTAATTTACAATCATCTTACATTCATTCGTTAAACAAACTTGTTTTTCATTTCCTTACAAATAAAGTTCATCTACTTTCTGGTCTACTTCTGGCACAATGATGCATGTGCCAAAGCATTGCATCCTGGGAAGATTACATCAGCAGAGCATTGTTGGGAAATATCATCTGAAATTTCATGAGATCTCAGGGAAAGGCATTTTCCTCCCCTGAGATGATGTGCATGGTCACATGTCCTAGTCACATGTGCCAGAGTTCCAGGAAGTAAAGGGAGATTTAGTAATCTGCCCTTAGTTGACATGGCCACTGTCAGAAGACTGGGAAAGAATAGTGAAATAAGGTATGCAAAGAATACAAAGCTGGCAGTTATCTAGAAGTATCTGTTTGTAGATTGTCATGAGTAAACATTTCTAAAGGTGTGCTTGTTGTTATTTTAAAGATATGGGTTAAGTTCCTCTTAACTCCTGAGTTTAAGGTCACTTTAAGCTAGTAAACAAAGAGCATATTTTATTAAACAACTTAACTTTTAATGAAGGTGGGCTGTTAATTTGCGTACCCCTAAATAAGCTAATATTGTCTAAATACATGAGGCATGTGGATTCTGCTTGAATCTTGGTGTGCTCTGTGTATTTATTTCAGGTTCAGATCAGTGTGAAATGTAGCTTCTGTGCAGAAGCTTATTATAAAAAGACCTGTCGCTGCTGTTTACTCTTCTTGGAAGGTGCAAAGTGATTGGTCTTGTATCTGCCCCGTCCTGTAATTTTCTGCAGGCAGCAGTGGGTGGGTTTTCTGGGTCCCTCCCACAGCTCTATTCTCTATGCAGGAATATATATATATATATACAAATATATGTGCAGACCAGTGATGATGTCATTTTTTTTACAAGGTAATAACCAAACTTGCAAAGGCATTTGGTCCACACAAAGTGGATTATTACCCTTGTGGCTATTGAAGAATATAAATGACGTTTATTTTTTTGTGCCTGGAGTTCAGCTTTAGTATTTTATTTTTGGGGCAGTCCTTTTAGGGCTGCTGCATATTGCAGATTCCCCCTGATTTTGTTATTACACATTAAATTTCCGTAAAGAAATTAGTAAGTATATTTTAATGCAAGATTACAAAGTCTGCACTCTTGCTTCAATTAAACATTTTCAAAAGAAGTTCTTTCTAGTTTGTTATACAATATACAAAAAAATATATTTTTTTCTGTGAATTTGAATAGTGTCAGATTGCCCTTAATTCATTGTACTTGGGTTGTGAAGTCTGATGTCTTTTAAGTTTTTTCTTTCTTTTTCTTTTTTTTTTTGTAACAGATATTCAGGATGAACAGGAACGAGTGCTAAAGTACAAAAACTTAATTGATACACTTCCAACACTGAATAAAACTACCTTAGCTGCGTTAATTGAACACCTTTACAGGTCAGTCTGCTTGTCTATGCTATATAATTAAATTGACTGAAAATGACTAACTTGTTTGTCTTTAATAGTTGCTATAACAATCAATTTATTTTTGCATGATTAAAATGTCATGGTCCAAATGTTCTAGTAATGTCACCGTGTCAGCAAGAGAAACAAAAAACAGCAAAAAATAATAAAAATAATGTTGATATTAAAAAAAAATCGATGAACTGCAAGTACTGAAATTAACTGTCAAACTTGTCAAGATGTTTGTGACAGATTAGCATTAAGCATAACACAAGGACTAAATTTAGATGCAGGTGCTAAGATTTGCACTCTTGAAATCTTGCACTTATAAAATAGTGCTAAGCCCCTTCACCCTTGCAGTCATCTATTCCAGGCAATAATTGCTGCCACACTGGTGGGGTGATATAATGCTTTGTAACAAACATCTGTTGATTTATCAAATCAGAGAATGAAATATTTAATGATGAGGTTTTTTTTGTTCTACTGACAGCGGTAATTCAAATGCAGTTGAGGTAAACATTTCAGAAGCCAAAAAGGTTTTAATCATACTGTAGTTTTTCCTGTGGATACAACTTAGGTGTGCAGAATAGTGTTGTCAAACATATTCAGCAGTTGGTTCCATATTTACTTTAAGACCGGTAACCATGAACACAGAGTAAGAGGAGGGTTGCACAAATGCTCTTTTTACATTTTGTGTTTAGGTTTTTCTTTTTCCCCAATTCACCTCTGCACTGGGGAGGGATTAGATGACTATGGGGGTTATTCACTATTGAGCCGAAGGATACATCATAGCTTCGGCTGATCCTTCGGCTCTCTTCGACTGCCGGAGCCCTTCGGTTCAGTAGAACAGGCTATTCACAATAGCCTGTACAGCAGCCGAAGTCAGCCGAGAGGCTCAGCCGAGCCGAAGACGTATGCTTCGGCTCAACTGAGCTGAAGTGACAGCCAAAGCAAGGCGAACGGCCTGCTGAAGGCCGGCCGTT